CCTTCGGCCCGTGCACCTATGAGTCCCAGGCCCAGCTTGGGAACAAGTGTGATAGATGATCAGCTTGTCAACAAGGTGACATTATAACATTATTGTCTTAGTTGACATTTCATCTTTACTCTTGACATTTGACTGGCATCGGTAAATTTACCACAACTAAAAGCCAGGAGCAATTAGTATAGAATTGTAAATGTCTTCATACTATGATATAGAAATCGCTTCAATCGCTTTATATAACTACTGGTATATTATATATGTGAATTTAATAGAAGTCTCTTTTAAAGATCTCTTTCAATGTTTAAAGGGATTGACCTAGCAGACGACAATCAAACTCGCTACAGACTATCCAACCAGACGACAACCCAACTAGCTACTTACTGTCCAACCAGACGACAACCCAACTAGCTACGTACTGTCCTAGCAAACGACAATCCAACCCAACTGAGCTATCCCACTACCCTAAACGACGACAATCCAACCTACTCAAGGCTGAGCTATTCCACCTCCCTAGCAGACGATGATTCTATTCGCTACAGACTAAGATATCCCACTGTTCTAGCATACGATGATTCAACTCGCTACAGACTAAGATATCCCACTGTCCTAGCAGACGACAATCCTACTTGCTACAGACCGAGCTATCCCACTGTTCTTGCAGACGACAATCCAACTCGCTTCAGGCTGAGTTATCCCACGACTTCGGGGACAAGTACACTGATAATACATGAAAACGCTATTAAGTATTTACATCAAAAGTTCAGAAGCGGAACTAGGCAACGATAATTCTACTCGCTACAGACTAAGATATCCCACTGCCCTAGCAGACGATGATTCAACTCGCTACAGACTAAGTTATCCCACTGTCCTAGCAGACGATGATTCAACTCGCTACAGACTAAGATATCCCACTGTCCTAGCAGACGATGATTCAACTCGCTACAGACTAAGTTATCCCACTGCCCTAGCAGACGATGATTCAACTCGCTACAGACTACGATATCCCACTGTTCTAGCAGACGATCATTCAGCTCGCTACAGACTAAGATATGCCACTGTCCTAGCAGACGATGATTCAACTCGCTACAGACTAAGATATCCCACTGTCTTAGCAGACGACAATCCAACTCACTACCGACTGAGCTATATCGCTGTTCTTGCAGACGACAATCCAACTCGCTTCAGGCTGAGTTATCCCACGACTTTGGGGACAAGTACACTGATAATACATGAAAACGCTATTAAGTATTTACATCAAAAGTTTTTGAAGCGGAACTAGGCGACGATAATTATCGTTTGTAATGAAGTAGAAGTCTAATTAGTGAGAATAATTAACAAATAATTAGCCATTGATTGATTGAGTTTTACCACTATGAGTATTTTAGGACTTAATCGCTGGTACATGATAATGATTTACCAACGGGGTTCGACGTTGTCTTGCCATTGGTGTACTTGCACGAATTTCTCTTAATGAAGGGCTAATAACTGTTTAGTCCCAGACAGTGTTACAATCAGTGTAGACTATCTGAAAGGTAATGAAATGAATGGAGTTTTACAAAATAAACAGTAATAACTATGTGGACTATCCGACAGAGAATCTCGGTTGACCATCTATAATACCAATTAAACTATAAGCTATGTATAAGCTATGTGGACTCTCTGAAAGAGAGACATAGTTGACAACTCGAGTTACAGGGTGGCACCAGGGGTACTGGAAGAGTAAGCAAGTCGCGCATCGCTAGCGACACCCACAACAGCTGAAAGAGTAAGCAAGTCTCACCTCGCTAGCGGCACCAACCACAGCTGAAAGAGTAAGCAATTCGCACCTCGCTAGCGACAACCGCTACAGCTGAAAGATTAAGCAAGTCTCACCTAGCCAGCGGCACCCGCTACAGCTGTAAGATTAAGCAAGTCTCACCTCGCTGGTGGCACCCGCCACAGCTGAAGGATTAAGCAAGTCTCACCACGCTAGCGGCAACCGCCACAGAACGTACTCTAATGGTTCGCAATTTCAATATAGCAGCTATCAGCTAGAAATACTTTACAAGATTATAGTCGGCGGTGTCTCGTTAGGTTTTGTTTTCACGACCATGTTAATGGATTTTTAAATTGTTTAGTTCGTTTTCAAATCGTTCGATTCTGTTTCCGCATTATCAAGCCAAATGATTTCACAAATAAAATAAGAAATTAATGAAAAAAGCTGAAATTGAGTGAGTTATCCAATTAAAGTCAATTGCTTTAAGCCTCACAATTATAGCTTTAATAGAAACCAACCGATTGTTACCAAAAAAACAATCTTTCCCCATTTCACTTGACATTTCCGAGACTCTTTTATTTTGCAATTTTGCGTGGGTTTTTTATAACTTAATAATTGACTTTGTTTTTCAATACATATTTCAATTTCAATCTTATTTTCTTTTATTTCAAAAGCCCCGAATCGATAATCATGATTGGTCTCCAGAAAATTAAGGACGCTAATGATAAGGGTTGCTGTCGTTTTCTTAGATACAGCCTACAATCAGGTTAAAATACAGATCTGGAAGTTTCGGCCACGCTAAAGATATCTCGACAGTTGGAAATCGTAAACTTGTAAATTTCGGGCTTAAAAAACCATTCTGATTATGATGGTTTAACATTTTATACTGCAGCTAACGTGGCAGGTGTATCTAACACAGTGGCTTAACTACCACAGGGTCTGGTTGAACCTAGTCCACGGACCCCACCCTAAAGTGTAGTCGAACCCCTGAAAAAAAGCAAGAGAGCATATTAAAAATGCAGAGGAGGGGTCTCAACTCACTTAGGTCTAAGGGGCCCCTACCATTTAGCTGCGCCACCGATCTGACTATCAGTGGCGTTCCACACTAGAAAAATGCTGGCTAAGTTTGGCCTCCCAACATTCAAATCATTTATCATTTTACACAGTGAAAGAATGACCCTTAAAATATTTGGCCCTGCTGGGACCCGTCACCGGACCAACTCTACTGCTGACAATGTTTCAATTTTGAATTCATAATTCTGATTTGTGTATGATATTTCCACAGTTTGGCTTGGTGATATTTTCACGATGTTTGTAATGTATTAAAGTGATATTTATGATTCAAGCATCGGGGCTACATGGTTTATTACTTACGCTTGTCATACAACTTGTTAGTTTTAGCATTTAGCAGGATTTTTAAATGAAATTTTAATGTTTTATGAGCAGCTTTTTATCTGAATCTATATGGAGGATTATTATCATGTTCAATTTATGACTTCTGTTTCCAGGAAGGTATTTTCGTTTATGTTTTGGTTAGATTAAACCTAATGATCGTGTCTATCGACCAAACCGAAAGTAACTCATGGCGCGAAATTGAGCACTGTTTATATCATGCATTATTAAATTTCATACAATGGAACGAAACTAATGAATTTGATCGAAATTTGGGATATAGTCCAACAATTAGAATTCGAAAAAGAAAAATTTCCCTCGTTACACACTGCACTGCGTTGCCATTCATCATAAGCCATATCAGATGCGGAAATGTAGAACGCACAATTCCATTCACTTTATTTCATTTGAAAATACATCGATTTGAGCTGCACTTAAAACCCCAGACTTCTGTGTACAGAATCCTTTCACGTGACAAAAACAGTGATCGATGGCCTTGTTACGTATTTGAAAAAAAAAACATCAAAGGTCCATTAATTAAATGTCGGCTTTATTTAATTTCGACTGAAAAAATACTCTTAATGAACAAAAATAATCCTTATTACCAATGAAAATAGTTCGTAGGAAGACCGATATTACGTAACCTTTTAAGTCATACCATCTAGTCTAGCCATTTCAAGCTAATATCTTGACTGAAATTGCCACCTCTCTGGTAATATCTAAGTCAGTAAATGGTACCACATTAAAGTCAAGCTATTGCAAACTGCATCTAATGCCCTTTATTTTATCGCAGAAGTTTGTAAATGCAGCGATTTCTTATACCTTGTCTGCAATAGCCACCTCTCTTGTACATGTATCACAGCCAATCTGAGCCCTCGACAGAAAGTTGGTAAACCATTACCTATACTGCTTACAGTCTTTATGTCGAGAGCTTTGATTGGATGTATTCGCTAGCATACAATCCAACCATTTAACTACAAGAGAGGTGGCTTTTGCAGACAAGGTATAAGAAATCGCTGCATTTACAAACTTCTGTGATAAAATAAAGGGCATTAGATGCAGTTCGCAATAGCTTGACTTTAATGTGGCACCAGAAACCATTTTCTCGTCAAGGGAATTGTTCGAATCACTTGTAACCGATCGTTAATCTTTCTAAGGAGTAAAAGTAAAAAAAATCAGAATTTGAGATCACCCTCGAGCTGTCTCATAAGAATTAACAAGTTATAAAGTTAACAATATTTAAAATAAGACACAGTTGACAATATTAGAGTCCCTCACAAATCAGGATTCAAACTTCATGTATATTCACTTCCCAGACCACTTAATCGGTCCCCAGGACGACTTAATATTGCATTGAAAAGACGACTCTAGCCTTTTAATTCCTCAGATTTTCATTTGCGTGGGTGGTTCTCAACCTTATATTTTTTAGTGTGTCAGTAGGTCAGAGATCTTTGCAATATTTCACATGTAATAAATCAAAATAAATGGATTTTACGTCCTATTTTTTTTGCTCTTGATTGTGTCAATGAAGAAAGGCGGTGTGCAATGAAGGGAATTACGCCTGGACACGTGTATTAGCCTATTGACTAAAAGGAAACAATTTTAATAGACGCAATTCATTTAAACTGTGCGAACAAGCTGGAATGAAAAACTCATATTCGACATGTCAGCAACATTTAGTGCTCTCTATGCAGTCCGCGCTCCTTGTTAATGAATTTCATTTGGTTGTGCGTTATTTAAAAATAGTCCGATTTTTAAAATTCTTTCATCTTGACTTTGATATACACATATCAAAATACTCAATGCAAGTTAACTCATACTGAAATTTTTATTCCGTATTTTTTTCTAATTTCAGGTGAGCAACATGTTTATTGTCAGCCTAGCTATAGCAGATTTAATCGTCGGACTAACCGTCATGCCTATCAGTGCCATCTATATCTTTACCCAGGAATGGCTGTTCGGGGTCGTCGTTTGTCAGGCGTGGATCGGAGTAGACTACATAGCCAGCACGGCCTCCATTTTAAACTTATTTATACTCAGTTTAGATCGCTACTGGTCTGTACGTTCGCCGTTAGTGTATTTACGGAAACGGACGAAACGACGTGCGTTAATAATGATCTCGATTGTATGGTGTGCGTCTTCTATGTGGATTATTCCCATTGTTGCATGGCATCATATTGTGCGCCAGGGAATTCGCATAGTTCCTGAAAACGTCTGCGATACAGAATATGCAACCAATTCCGCATTCAAAGTGATCACCGCATTTTTCAATTTTTATCTTCCGCTCGCAGTCATGTACTCTTTATACATAAAAATATTCCAAGAAATCCGCAAGCGATCGGAGTTCGAATTAGGACAGAGAAATATCGGAACGAAACCGGTAACATATCATGCGTCACCCCCGTCTCATTCCGGTGACGACAGCGATCTTCCGGATCACCACAATTTCACCGAAAACACATATCAACAGCAAGAGTCGTCCGAAGAACAAAAAAGGTCAAGTTATATAGTACGGCGTAGTAACTCAAACGGTAAATCGAATAAAAATTCCAAAAATTCGAAGGGTTACAAAAATCTGCGTTTAATCGCAGTGCAAAGACAGATGAGCAACAGTCGAGAAAACCATTCGAATTCCTACAAAGTGGAGTACGTCTACGACGAAACAGTACTCGATCCGCAAACGGAACGGATAGAGCGGTACTACTACGAAGAACATCTACCATTAACCTCAAAACCTTCATCATCATCTTCGTCAAACCATAAGACTTTAACACGTTCCGATACCTGTACATCACTTTCACAATCATCTTCGTCCGCCAGTACATTCGAAGACGTCCGTCAAGACAACAACGAGAGACCAAAGGGAGATAACTTCTCCATTATGAGCGGTATCCGGAAGATCCGGCAAGCGGAAAAACTATTGGATACAACGGTTACCGTGACAACGGGAAGAAACAGTGATCGCGATAAAACAATGTTTGTGTTACGAGATGATAAAAACAGACGATTAACCGGAGTACTCAATATAAAGGATCGTATACGTCACCTCCGGCAAACTTCAGCATTAACGAAGGAGATTAAAGCGGCTCGACAGTTAGGGGTTATTATGGGAGCGTTCACTCTGTGTTTTTTGCCCTATTTTATACTATTTTTAGTCGTAGCTTTCTGTGAAGGGTGTATTGAACCCGGTTTATTAACCGCTATGACGTGGGTTGGGTATTTAAACTCCACTTTGAATCCGTTTCTGTATCCTTTATGTAACTTGCAGTTTAGGCGGAAATTTAGAAAAATGTTCGGTGTTTTAAATGAACGGAGAAATCATGGGCGGTATGACCTAAATGATAAAAATAGTTTGACTAACGTGAGATTTGATTGATGTATTTTTTTGATTTCATTACAAAATATTTTTTACTTCTCAATTCACATGTTTGTACTAAAAACACTTTAAATACAGATAGAGTGAGTCGTTTATAGATAAACTCGATCAACTGGTATCAAAAGGTTTTGAAGACTAAATGTGTCGACTCAAACATCCAGTGGAAAAGACTTGAGGAAAATGAGTGTAGACTCGATCATCTGGTAGCAAAAGATTTTGAGGAAAATCAGTTAAGTTTCGAACAAAATGTCCTCTATATTGACCGTTTGCAAAATCAAGGTAGACATGATCACCGGTTTTCTCTAACAGGATGGACCAAAGTCACCTAAGCGTGGTTTCTCTTAAATACCTGCTTTGCCAACTGATAAAGTTCATTCTCAACTGTCCGTAACACCCTATGAAATGTAAATCTAATTTAGTGTTCGCCTACAAATTGAAAAAGCGTATTAGTTGGAATGACGGTCGATATCAATGTTCTCAAACGATATATCAGACATTATGACGTCATGAGTGTGCATATAACGTGTATTTGATTAAGGCCTGAGTTCTATCGGCTGGTACAGCAGCAGGACGATACTATCTTTTCAATTAATATTTAAAACTCGTCCCAGATCAACATCACCAATATTGCGCCGTCATCATCAATATGTCCGACGTTTAATCAATCAAGTCCGAACCTTCTTCAATTTCAATAACATAATTTTAAGCAGCTCTTAAAAGAAACTTGTCGTTTTCACAACGATACTTCAGTAGTCTGGAAACGATTGTACATTATCCACAGTTTATATAGAAAATAACACAGAAATATACCACTAGCCTAGTCTCGACAAGCATCTTCACGATATCAAGGTATACCTTGCCCGCAATAGCCACTATTCTTGTATCACGGAATGTAGCAATTTGATTGTATGGCAGCGGATACAGCCAATCAGAGCCCTTGACAGAAAGGCGGTAAACATGATTGCCGAGCTCTGTGAGTGACTGTATCCAGCGTATAATCATATCAATTCGCTTCCGTGATACAAGAAAGGTGGCAATTACGGGCAGGCTATAAGACACAGTTCGTAATATCTTGACATTGTGAAGATGAGGCAAGATATAAGACGAAGTTCGTTATAGCTTGACATTGTGAAGATGAGAAATAGACCGCTAGCCTAGTCTCGAAACATGTCAATCAAAATCTTCAATGTTATGTAGAGAAAGGAATTTTATGTCTTAATTTCAGACGCTTGAGTCATTCAATCAAACCCATTACCACGTACTCAGGTCATCTCAAGACTGAACATTAACATAAGCATACGAAACCAACTTCCGGTCTAACGTTAAATCAATGTCCGGATCAATGATGTCGATTACAAGCAGTCTCGTCTTTTTGTTCTCTGATGTCGTTGGGTATTCAAGGCTTGGTGATCTTTGACAGCTGCAGATCTGTGGCCAGTCACGACTGACTGGAATTTTGACTTCATTAATTGGTATTTCCAGATCCCGACAACTTGTTCCAAAATGGGGGTTAACATGACTTTGGACAATCTCCAAAAGTGATACCGGGTTGAATTGAAATGGTGCTTTAAGTCTTGATTTTCTGGACGTGGTTTGGATGATGAATACGGGGGAGGCTGCAAGCCAGTAGCCAGACTTGATTGTTGGGAGGGTCAAGTAAGTAATCCCCCTGGGTCTCTGATTGGACAAACCCAGTTCACGACAGGTTAAAGGTACTTCATGCCTGGCTGGCTATTTCCATGTCACACCACACAGGGCCGAGTTTCACCGCTTTGTCATTCGACTCGACCAGATCTCACGAAGTATCAACAACAAACCAACAACACAGAATCATCAAATTTGAACCAATCCAACTACCAACTACTACGATTACCAACTACTACGACTACCACCAACTACACAGTTTGCGCTTGAAGCGAACCTTAACTTGTCATCTACCAACAACTATACCTAGTCTGTGATATCAGCTGGAAGTGAACGTCGACTTGTCATCTACCAACCAACCAAGCTGGCTATTTCCATACTTACGTACTCCGTACATACTATTGTAAAGATGAAACCGAATATAGTTCATCCAATTTTGTGTAGAAACTGAAATTTCAACGATATCAATTCATTTTGAACAGGTGTAAAAAACGTGTGATCATTAAAAACTTCAAAACGACTCCGTCATATTTTAAATTGAAAATTTCAAAGTAAAGATAACATTGGTTTATAAAAACACTACTAGGTGCAGATAGCCAAATTTAATTTAGTCTGAAACAAGGCTACATTTATTCTTTGCGTTTTGCTTTGTCTAATAAGACACAAAACAGTACGACATAAAACTCTATTTCATTTCATTAGTCCAATAAGATACAGAACAGTAGTATATAAAACTCTATTTCATTTCATTAGTCCAATAAGATACAGAACAGTAGAATATAAAACTCTATTCCATTTCATTAGTCCAATAAGATACAGAACATAACAATAATACACATATGGGTAATGATCGAGGCTACAAGTAGTAGTCACAATGAAAGGTCATTATAACGTCGTGATAACCACGAGACAAGACTTGCTCATCCGGTCGGTTTTAACTTGGTAATGAAATTTTAATGAAAAGGAAATGCCTTCTTGATTGCTGGAAATCATATAAAATTGAAACCACAACGTCACCTAATGAAATATATCAGTAGTCGATCTATTATCCATTCTATTTTTGGTTTCATTGTCCGTGAACTCGTCACGACCATTGATTGGTTGAGGGTCATTCATTATTCAAATATTAACCATACAAATTACACCATTTAGAAACCAAAAAACCAATAATAGTCAACCATTCGACCTACACAACTAAGATTAAAGACCGACCTTTCTTCAAGTTAATAGATGTTCATTGCTTTGAGTTAGTACTGAGCACGGGTTGTAGCACAGTCGGTTAGATTGTTCGAGCGCTGACGTCATTTACGTGGTTAATTCGAAAAAATGGTGTTCATGGGTTGGATCGGAAATTTTACCTTAAGGCAATGTTATTTGAGCGTTTTAATTTACACCCCCCCCCCCACCCCACCCCCAAAAGTTTGGGCCTAACCCCTGCCAATCCAAAGTTCTGCAGACGCCACTACAACAGCTCTAGTTACGTACTCATGCTTAAAGTTTAAATGTATTAACAATTAACTAGACCCACTTTCAAAAAGATAATTGGATTTTTAAACAGGAATATGCAATCAATTAAACTAAATATTTAAAGTTCGTGCAGACAAGTAGGTCAGTAGGTCAGTGTTTCAGTGTGTCATCTCTTGATACTGGTTTAAAAATGCTATGCCATGAAATATAATGGAATCTCTAGCCAATAACAACAACCATTGCAGTTGTACTTGACGTTCCAATTTTTCTTAAACCAACAAGATGCAGAAAAGCGAGACATAAGATTGGTGCATAGTTCATGGTGCAAAGCCACCGAGTATCGTACTCACCAACCACTGCAATCACCAAGCATTGCATACACCAAGTATCGCATAAAGCATTGTAGTCACCTAGCATTGCACTAATAATAATGAAAGTCACCAAGTATTGCAGTCACCAAGCATCTCAGTCACCACGCATCACAGTCACTAAGCATTGTAGTCTATAATAATGACAGTCACCATGCATGACAGTCGCCAAGCATTGCAGTCACCAAGCACTGAAGTCTCCAAACCTTACAAACACCTAATACTCTCTTCAATCACCAAGCATGACAGTCACCAAGCATGACAGCTGTCATGCATGAAAGTAAGTCCTGTCATTAATATAGCAGAAAAAGGGTATAAAACAGTAGAACATAAAATCGCACTTCATTTTATTCAAACAAATTTCAGACTGTAATATCAGACTAGATTGTAATTTAGAAATATTTTTCTTTACATAATGCATTCTAGTTCAAATATTTACTGACAGAGCGAAAACAATTTTGATAAAAGCACACTTTCCATTTCAAGGATATTCTTAGCTGATTAAAACTTGGGAAATATTGATATCGATTGTCTTGATTTCGGAGATTCGTTAAAACAAATTTATTGACTGTTTTAGTCATTTCGCCACAGGCACGAATGCAAAACCTTCACATGTAACAAATACAGCATTCCGAGCAATTACATATTATTAGCCATGTGGAATCTTCGAAAGTGTCGAGTTGACATACTCAGTGTGGCATCAGGTGTTGTTAAAGAGTGAGTACATCATGCCTCGTGTAATTGACACAGACATAATACAGAACAGTAGGATATAGAACTTCATTTCATTTCATTAGTTCAATAAGATACAGAACAGTAGGATATAAAACTCTATTTCATTTCATTAGTCCAATAAGGTATAGAACAGTAGGATATAAAACTACATTTCATTTCATTAGTCCAATAAGATACAGAACAGTAGGATATAAAACTCTATTTCATTTCATTAGTCCAATAAGATACAGAACAGTAGGATATAAAACTTCATTTCATTTCATTAGTTCAATAAGATACAGAACAGTAGGATATAAAACTACATTTCATTTCATTAGTTCAATAAGATACAGAACAGTAGGATATAAAACGACACTTCATTTAATTAGTCCAATAAGATACAGAACAGTAGGATATAAAACTACATTTCATTTCATTAGTTCAATAAGGTATAGAACAGCAGGATATAAAACTACATTTCATTTCATTAGTTCAATAAGATACAGAACAGTAGGATATAAAACTCTATTTCATGTAGACCAATAGAACAAAACACATTTCACCAGCTAATTCTTTTTTTTAGACAAAAATGAAGTAACTTTCCGGACTAATTTCGTTTAAAAGAGTCGATCTATGTCCCACATCTAAGGCAAGGAAGGAAAATGAGACTCCATTCATTTCCTCGGCGACTCATATCGAGTATAAATATTGACCGTGCATGAGGAATCTATG